GAAAGAAAGAAAGAAGAAAGAAGAAAGATAAGAAAGAAAGAAGAAGAAAGAAAGAAAGAAAGAAAAAAGAAAAAAGAAAGAAAGAAAGAAAGAAAGAAGAAAGAAAAAAGAAAGAAAGAAGAAAGAAAGAAAGAAAGAAAGAAAGAAAGAAAGAAAGAAAGAAAGAAGAAGAAGAAGAAGAAAGAAGAAGAAAGAAAGAAAGAAAGAAAGAAAGAAAGAAAGAAAGAAAGAAAATTAAACATAGAGTTACCACAAGACCCAGCAATTCCAACTGTAAGCACACGCACCCGAAAGAACTGAAAATAGGTGTTCAAACAAAAATTTCTACACGAATGTCCACAGTATCAGTATTCACAATAGCCCAAAGTGGAAATACCACAAATGTTCATAAACTGATGAATGGATAAACAAAATGTGGTATATCCATACAAAGGATATACAAAAGGTTGTAAATTCTATGATTCCATTTATATGAAATCCCCAAAACAGGTGAATCCAAAGATTAGTAGTTGCCAGGGAATGCGTGAGAGGAAAATAGGCAGTGACTGCTTACTAGATTCCCTTGTGAGGCAATGAAAATGTTTTGGAACTAGATAAAGGTGACAGTTGCACAACAATGTCAATGTACTGAATGGTACATTTTAACACGGTCAATTTTATGTTATGTAAATTTTACCTCAATTAAAAAAAATTATAATGATTTATTTTAGAATTTGCTAAATCCAAAGAGAAACTTTTATATTTAAGATAGTTAAACATATACACACCCCTAAATAATAATTCATAGATTCTTTACTATGGGATATACACAAATATTTTATGTGCTTACTGATCTTCCCTTATCAATACTGTCAAGTACTTCACTTTTGGACAACTCTGAAGCTTTTATTTATAATGTAAGACAATCAGTACTATTCCAGATTCATTATTATGAAACTGTCATTGCATCAGATTGAATGAAACATGATGCTTTCAAATATTCTAGAACAGAAATATTAATTATTTATAAAGGCACTAGGCTTTTTTTTTACATAAACAAAAAATATTTTTAAAACATTTTTAAGGAAGAAAATTGATGTTTATCATGGTACGTTTCCAAGTAAGAACACAAAGAATAGTATTTTGTTTTAAAAAAATCAGCAAATAATGCTCACATTTTATTTCATGATCCATTATAATTAGTCAAAAGAGAGGAAATGTGGGAGGTGAAAAGTGGAGGACAAGCCCGGCACAATGGTGTGTGCCTGTAGTACCTACTCAGGAGGCTAAAGCAGGAGGATTGCTTGAGCCCAGGAGTTTGAGGCTAGCTTGGACAACATAATGAGACATAGTCAAAAAAAAAAAAAAAAAAAAAAAAGAAAGGGAAAAAGGGAAATAAAGAAAAAGGAGAAGAGAAAGAAGAGAAGAGAAGAGAAGAGAAGAGAAGAGAAGAGAAGAGAAGAGAAGAGAAGAGAAGAGAAGAGAAGAGAAGAGAAGAGAGAAAGAAAAGAAAAAGGGGGGGAAAAGTAAAACTATTAAAACTAGAGAGGTTAGCTGGGCGTGGTGGCTCACTCCTGTAATCCTAGGACTCTGGGAAGCCAAGGCGGGCGAATCGCTCAAGGTCAGGAGTATGAACTAGCCTGAGCAAGAGCAAGACCCTGTCTCACTAAAAATAGAAAGAAATTAATTGGCGAACAACTAAAATATATAGAAAAAATTAGCCAGGTATGGTGGCACATGCCTGTAGTCCCAACTACTTGGGAGGATGAGGCAGTTGGATCTCTTGAACCCAGGAGTCTGAGGTTGCTGTGGGCTAGGGTGATGCCACGGCACTCACTCTAGCCTGGGCAACAGAGTGAGACTCAGTCTCAAAAAATAAAAAATAAAAAATAAAGAAAATAAAAGTAGAGAGGTTCAAAGGCTATAGAAGAAAGGGGTTCTTGTCATACTTAGCATTCTATAGGCAGTGGATATCAAAGCAAATTTCATCTACTTAAAATATCTTAATTTAAATTAGTAATCTTTAGTCTTGCTTTTATTATAATTTTTAAATAGATTTTAAAAATTAAAAAAATTTTTTTTTTTTAAAGACAGGTTCTTGCTCTGTTGCTCAGGCTAGAGTACAGTGCCCCAGTCATAGCTTTTGCAACCTCATATTCTTGGGCTCAAGCAATGATACTGCCTCAGCTCCCAAGTAGCTAGAACTACAGGCAGTGCCACCACACCTTGCTAATTAAAAAACAAATTTTTTGATGTGTAGAGATGGGAGTCTTGCTATGTTGCCAGGCTGGTCTTTTTTATTTTTATTTTTTGGTTTACTTTTTGTTTTATTTTTTTTATTTTATCGTATTATAGGGGGCCAGGCTAGTCTTTGAATGCCTGGCCTCCAAGTGATCCTCCCACCTCTGCCTCCCTAAGTGTTGGGATCACAGGCATGAGCTGCCATGCCTGGCTTAGACTTTTTTAAAAGAGCAATTATAGGACTACAGAAAAATTATCCAGGGAGTTCTGGAGTTACATATATTCACTCCTCATCCCCCAAATTTATCTTATTATTCATACCTCCCATTAGAGTGTGCTATGGACGGAGTTGTGTTCTTCCCCTGATTCATATATATATATATATATATATACACTACACACACACATACACACACCACCATACCACATAGCCACACCACACACATATATATTAGGCAAGCATGAAAATGAGGTTTATTGAGGAAAGAAAGATAGGATTATAGGGCAAGAGCAAGATACAGGTTTACAGAACATGATATATATGCTACAGATGATGACTGGACTCATTGTCACAGGAGGGCAAGCAAAACAAAGGGCAGAGAGAGAGA